AGGCTGACTGATGAAGTACACTGCTGAGGGGAGCAGTGGACAGTCAGGAGAGGTCTGCCATGCCATGTGGGTGTCCTTTGGAGCAGAGATCGAACTCATGCTGAAGTGGCTTTAGCTTCTTAGTGCTGTGCTTCAACCTGCTGCACCACCAGGGAGGGCCCAACAAGCCTCTTTAAAAAGGCTTTATGTATGCACACAACAATGGGGGTAACAGACTAGAGGTACAAGGAGTGAGACTCACCAGAGACAGAGTAGGGAGCAGAACAGACAGATCTACTGAAATACACTGCTGAGGGGAGCAGCGGGCATGACAGGAGAGGTTGCTGCACCATGTGGGTGACCTCTCTGGCTGAGATCAAGCTCTGTGCTGCAGTAGCTGTGGAAAGCTTCATAGTGCTGCACTTTAACCCCTTGTGCCACCAGGGGGGCCTGACAAGCCTTTTTTGACCAAAGCTTACCCTCTTTTGGCTTGTCCTCCATTCCTTTTCAAAAGATCTATTTGGGCTTAGTGAATTTTATATAAAAGCTAGCCCCTAACACACTAAGACATCAGACTGAATACACAGAAAGACAGTGGAGTAAATTCAGCTCTAAGAAGAGAAGCTACTGTGTGAGGAGTTATGAAGGAAAGAGAAGCAAGTCAGGTAGGGTCTACGAGGCACATTTTTCACAGGGCAGAAAGGTGAGAGTGAACACTGAGGGCAGCAGGACACAGAACAGTGGTCTTGCCTTCATGCTTATATGTAAAGGGGCCTGTTTGCCTCTGGGAATGGCAAGACCTACACAGCTATTGGTAGAAGGTGAAACTTGAGCTAAAACTGATGTGGCACAGAGGCTAAGTGCTCCTGTGACAGAATCTGGTATTTGTACTTGAAGCCTGACTCCTTTTTTACTTAAGTCCTATGTGATCTGAAGCAACTTACTGACCTTCAGGAGCCTCGGCTTCTCACAAGCAATAAAGACCATAATATTTTCCTTATGTAAATACCTTAGCAAAGTGCTCCATAACTGGCATCTATCATTAGTAGCCAAGGAAGTGCTTCAGAAGGGATTTTTTTTTAAGCTACTAAATCTAGGCATTTGATCACTGCAGTGTTTTCTACGCTAGCTAAAACCTAGAAACAGTTTGCCCAGTCATTAAGGAAGAACCAGCTGATTTCCTTACTTGATAAAATATTTTGTAGCTATTATATTTTAACAGTGAAGACTGTGTATCAATATGGAAAAGTATTGTAGATTTTGAAAAACAGCAGAACCAGAAAGATAGGGCCTTTGGACGATGCAGCTAAGCCATATATTTAGGGTTCTGTGAGGTATTGTAAGATCAAAAAGTAAGGTAACTGGTATGGTAACAGATGCTAAATAACTAGGAGTCATTTATAAATTCCTGATAAGGAAGAGTGGAAAGGTCAAGAAAGAATTATGGGGCAGGAAGGAGCTAAGGTAGGCCTGGGAGAATGGATAAAATTATGTTCCACAGAGGGTGAGAAGGCTATTTCATGTAGAGAGCACAGAAGTTCCATAGTGTAAAGAGGGGAATGCTTAAAGAATGGCTAGGAGGCCTGAAAACTGACCTGTCAGGACAAAATCCATAACTGGGGTCACATTCATGGAGACCCTAGATCTCAGGCTAACTTGTCTGAACTATATGCTGGAAGCTTTTTTGAACCTAGAGGAAGCAATATTTGAGGGAAACAATGGAAGCATGGGATATTGTTGAAAATCAGTACTCCCTCATAAAGGGAGTACTTTGAGGGCAACTTTGAGGGCAAGTTTATGAACTGGAAGTAAGGGTCTGATGCAAAGAATATTTAGAATGCTGTGCCCGTCTTTCATCTTTCTCATTCACTGATATCCCCTCCCCTCTTCTGTCTTTCTGCACTGCCACAGGCTTCCAGTGGCTACTGATCACCACTCTCCTCAGCTCCTCCCTGTCCCTAAACAGGTCCAGTGTCTGGACGAAGCAGTGTAGAAGGAAGCATTTGCTAGGAAACAATGACGAGGAGCAAACAGGGGAGGACCTTTTTATCCTACCCTTTCCATCAGTCACACCCGCCGCGGCTGGGATGGGGCATGATTTTCTCCTCCTTGAAACCAGGAAACAAGGAGTGTGCCTCAGTCTCCAGTGTGCCTCCAGTTTTCCACTTCAGCCCACAGCACTGTGCACACCTCAAGAACCAGTATTTGAAACTGGCGGCCACAAACCTTACCTTCTCTCCGGAGGTAGTATGGCAGCGAGGACTGCCCAGCATCCCTTACAGCCAGTACAGCTTTGACCATCTCTACAACACAGACAGCATTATCCAGCCTCCCCAGGTCAGGAAGACCCAACCTAAGAAACAGGTCAGCTTCAAGTTCTTGGAGGTTTCGGATACCTCAACAAAGGTCACTTCCCAGGCTGTGAAGACAAAAGCCACCGCCTTCTTTAAGAAGAAGCTGAAGAAATCAAAGCCAGCAAACACAATCCAAGAAATGCCTTATCCTCTCACCCTTCATCCTTCCAGGGAGCCAGACATGCTGGACCTGTCAGCTTCCCCAGATGTAAATCTGGAGCAAAGGGAAACCTGGCTCCCACCTTCTGAGAAGGAGGCCAGAGCATGGGAGGCCCTTGTGCTGGAAAAGCTGAACAAGCGCACTGCCCGATGGATTCAGAACAAACGTCCCCCACGGCCTGGGGTACCTCCCAACAAATGGCAAAACTTCTTGCGCCAGCAATATGACTGGAGCCATATCCGGGACGAGCTTACTTCCGCTAGTGACCTGGAGCTCTTGAAACAGCTGGAGGACGAAGAGACAACAGAATTTGAGGGGAAAAGTGTTATCCCATACACCCAGGAAGAAGAAAAGCCAGAGATGCTGCTTCCTGTTTATTATAGGTAGGCTGGGTGGGGCCTTAGGCACCTTTACAAATTCTCATCTCCCTGCAAGGACTCCCTCAAAGGAACTGGGCTCATGGTCCTTATTTCTGAACTCTCCCATCAACCTTTGTGCTCTCTTCCACCAGCCTGCTCTTTAAGATCTCTTTAAGGTGAGGTTCTTCCACCTGGGCACTACTGGCATCCTGGGTTGACATCTGACTCTACCCTGTGTAGCAGCAGCCCATTGGATGCCAGTAGGTCTCTTCAGTTGTCACAACCAGAAACCATTGAAAATTGACACAAGTCCCCTTGAGGGACAAAATGCTTCCAGTTGAGAAACTTGAAAGAGTTTAGTTCTCAGTATTTCCCAGCAGATGGAGCTATTATCCAGATGCTTCCAGAAATATATCTCCAGTGAGAGTGAGGAAGGCAGACACTTACAGAGTGAGGCTGGATCCTGTATCACTTTGATAAGGAGCTAGTGTGTTAATTGTCTCAGCAGGATAGAAAACAACCTGAGAGAAGAGGATGACTGCATATTTCTCAGACTGCTTTCTTTTCAAGTTTTGCTAGAGCGAAGACCAAAGACCTTTCTTTGCCAGAAGGGAGATTTCACTGATTCCCAAAAGAGAAGAAAAAGTGGAAATCCATTTGTTTATTCATTTATTAGACAAATATAAATTGCATTTCCACTATTTTCCAGATTCTCTACAAAGTGCTAGGAATACAACATAAATATGTCGGACGTCAACCTATCACTTAAGGGGATTAAATTTCACTGGGGTAGACTTACCTTAAATAACACACAAGGCCAATAGTTAAAACATAGGTGATCTTTACATGTTCATGTGTGTGGGAGCTAAGCTTAAAGAGGAAAGGGAGTTGTGGACCTGATGAAAGAGGGTAGTCCATCTCTTACCTTTATCTCCCTCTTTCACTCCTGCCAAGATTACCCAGTTACTTGCCAGAAATACATTCAGCTGAGTCCATGTTTGGCAACAATAAGACTACTGAGGATATCAATGGGAAAAGAAGAAGCTTCTGGCCAGCAAACCAGAGCAACTTCCGACAAGTGAATCCCCGAGCTGGAAAGTTTGCTTACTCCACAGACAACACTTTTGAACAGGAGATTTATTTTGGTAATAGAGCTTGGGTGCTGTGGTGAGGGTGGAGGTGGACATGGAACAGGAAGGAGGGAAGCAGCAAGAGATGAAATAGTCCTAAGTGTGGATGATAGGGTCTTAGATTCTTCAGGTGTTCATGTAACATCTGGCATTGTTTTTAGGGGGTTGAGGAGTAGCGGACAGGTAGTTGGTAGGGAGATGGTTCTCCTCCCCCCCTTTTCCTACTCCTCTGTCTTCTTAGGGGTTCACTGGGGGGTGGACTTATAAAGAAGGCAAACTACCTTCTTATATAACCTACCTCTTTTCTGCCTGCCCTGCTCACTTTTCTCACTTTGAGGTATTCCCTCAATACAGTGCTATGATGCAAAAAAAAAAAAAACAAACCACAAAACTAAAGGTGTTGAGTGTCAGGTGAATATGGGTTTAAATCATCCCTACTAACTCCTCTGCAACTCCTTTGTAAAACAATAATAACAAAAATACATTTCAAGCATCTATTAACAACTCCTGCTCAACAAATGACTGTTACCTCCCTCTTCCATCTTGCCATTCCTTTGATGCTTGGCTTCCCAGGAAGCATGATGCAGATTTGCATGTTCCAACTTGTTTATTCTTACCAAACCCCATCTTTTTTCTAAGTTACTACCAACTGAAAGTCTTCTATTTAAAAAAATTATTTATATATATTCTACATGATTTTTTTACATGATTTTTCTTTTTACAATGTTTGCTTTCTTTTCTCAGGTGTAGTCGCCATAGAATTTCCGCTACCAGTTCACCCATGCACCATCACCATAATCTCTTGTGCTCTTCCCTTTCTTGTTTTGATCCCTCTCCCTTCTCCTCCCCTGCAGACTGTCTCTGAATTATAGTGGGGTTTATTTTGTTTTGTTATTTTTTAAGTTATTATTTTTTCTCCAATGCCTTATTTTGTTCCCCTATATTCCTCCTATAAGTGAAACCATCTGATACTTAAGTCAGTTATTCCTCCTTTATTTCACTAAGCACAATCCCTTCTAGCTTCATCCATGTTGTTATGAATGGCATTAGTTTATCTTTTGATTGCTGAATAGTATTCCAATACGATTCCATTGTATATATATACCACATCTTCTTGATCCAGCCAACTATTTTGGGGCATTTGGGTTGTTTCCAAGTCTTACTTATTGGAAGGTATCTTTTTGAATTAGTGCTTTTGTGTCCTTTGGGTAGATCCCTCGTAGAGGAACTGCTAGGTCATATGGTAGCTCCATTTTTAGTAGTCTGAGGAACCTCTATACAGGTTCCTATCATGGTTGGACCAGTTTGTATTCCTACCAGCAGTGTAAGAG